CTGCTGCAAGCCCTCTCCCACTGCCGCGATCTCGAATAATTATAACCGACGCGAAAACAATTATAACTTAATATGAATATGGGCCAATATTTTTTTTGTCTTGTTTTTGTCACCGTACTCGACGCATGTACACGGAACCAGCTCCACGTGCAAAATATATTTTATTTGGATATCGTTCTAAAGAACGATATGGAGTAAAACCTCAACACATCTCCGGTGCACGGTGTTTAGGTGACCTAAATCGATTAGCAACATGGTGCAATAGCTGGAAAATACACATAAACGCTTCAAAAAGCTCAGCAGTCATTTTTAGTTTACGTCGCTATTCCACTCCACCACCTCTAAGATTCGGTAACGATTCCATACCTTGGCAGTCTTCTGTCAAGTATCTTGGTGTCACGCTAGACAAGAGGTTAACCTGGGGGCCTCACATAGCTTCTAAATTACAACAAGCATAMCAGCGCCTCTCAATGYTATTYCCTATCCTAAACAAAAAATCAGTTATACAAAAAAAATGCTCAATATTAATTTACAAGCAATTATTACGCTCACTAATTACCTATGCTTGTCCTATCTGGGGAAACTGCTCAGCGACACACTTAAGAACAGTAGCGGATCTGAAATTCTGAANAAAGACCCCTGGAGCATTTATTTTAAGGTATCCCATACTCGAAAAAATCGTAATAAACTAATCAAAATATAATGATAAGCCATGATAAATTTTTTAGATATAGAGCCATAGAAGCATAAGTACTTTGAGAAAATATTTAAAATACTATTTGGAATACTTTCACTGAAGTACTTTACAAGACTGGCTTGGTATTGGTGTAGTGCTGAACTTCTRAACAAAAATTGATTTTTTATTTTAATGTAACTATTTAAATTTCGAAAATATGTGTAGGCAGTATATTATGTATTATGTTATTATAATATTATATTATTTAATATTTTCTTAGTTTGAATAAGAAAAAAATAATTTAATATCACTTACCTCAGTGTCACTGTCAAATGCTCTTCAGCCGTAATTGCATTTCGAAATGATGTATTTTTTACATTATTTTGTTATTATGTATTTATTTTTTTGGTAATATATTCACGTATAAATTTCAAAAGTTCATCAAACGATGTTATGGACATCCGATAATATTCAAAAAATTTATCTGGATATTTTCTTAAATTTTCAAAAAATAATGAAAATCTTTGCGATTTTTCACGATTAACATTTAATGGATGAACCCAAAATTTACGTCGTAGGGGCTCATTTAGTAGTCCAAGTGCTTCCGCAACACAAACAGCTTTTATTTTTTTATTCATTTTTAATATTCAAGTTTAATATTATACAGGGTGATTATTTCATCACGAACCACTCATTATTTCAAAAAGTATCAATGTTTTTGAAATTTTTTTTTTACAAAGTTTCATGTTCTAAAAAAAACAACGTTTTTATTAAAAAATATATTTTTAAATATTTTTTACTTTTTTTATGACAACCTAGAGTTTTAATTTCATTTTCCGAAGCAGAATATTTTTCTCAGTATTTTAATACGTAAAAATCGAATTTTGGACGAGTAGTTTATGAGTAAAAGTTATTAAAGTTTATAGAAGTGAAGTGGAGTGATACGGGGTTACCTCGCAAAATGTTTGTCCACTACTCCACTTCTCTAAACTGTAAATACTTATAACTCATAAACTACTCGTCCAAAATTCGATTTTTACGTATCAAAATACTGAGAAAAATATTCTGCTTTGRAATATGAAATTAAAAC